AGAGCCTCAGTTCTCCCGTGAGAGGACCGTTGCGGTGAATCAGGGCGCTCCAGAGCCTCAGTTCTCCCGTGAGAGGTCCGTTGCGGTGAATCAGGCGCACTCGCTCGGCAGCGGAAGGCTCCGAGTTCTCGGTATTCTTCAGGGATGAGTCATGTGCAGGTGGAAAATGCGCTCGGGCTGGACCAGCAGTTTGCTGGCCTAGACCTGAACTCTTCAGATAATCAGACTGGAGGAAGTACAGCCAGCAACGGACGTTATATTCCTCCTCATTTAAGGAACAGAGAAGCTACTAAAGGATACTACGACAGAGACAGTTCAGGGTGGAGTTCTAGTAAAGATAAGGATGCATACAGCAGTTTTGGATCTCGCAATGATTCAAGAGGGAAGTCTAGCTTCTTCAGTGATCGTGGGAGTGGATTAAGGGGAAGATTTGATGATCGTGGACGGGGTGACTATGATGGCTCTGGTACCCGTGGAGACAGGAGTGGCTTTGGCAAATTTGAACGTGGTGGAAACAGTCACTGGTGTGACAAATCAGATGACGATGACTGGTCAAAACCACTCCCACCAAGTGAACGCTTGGAACAGGAACTCTTTTCTGGAGACAACACTGGGATTAACTTTGAGAAATACAATGACATTCCAGTTGAGGCAACAGGCAACAACTGTCCTCCACATATTGAAAGTTTCAGTGATGTTGAGATGGGAGAAATTATTATGGGAAACATTGAACTTACTCGTTATACTCGCCCAACTCCAGTGCAGAAGCATGCTATTCCTATCATCAAAGAGAAAAGAGACTTGATGGCTTGTGCCCAAACAGGGTCTGGAAAAACTGCAGCATTTCTGTTGCCCATCTTGAGTCAGATTTATTCAGATGGTCCAGGTGAAGCTTTGAGGGCCATGAAGGAAAATGGAAGGTATGGGCGCCGCAAACAATACCCAATCTCCTTGGTGTTGGCACCAACCAGAGAGTTGGCAGTACAGATCTATGAAGAAGCCAGAAAAGTAAGTATCCATTTCAGCCTTAGCTTTATCAGTGATTCTAATGAAACACTATGACTGTGTAAAATTTTTGAACTATTAATTGATAGAATTCCTTTGCTTATTTATGCTTACAGTTCTCATACCGATCTAGAGTTCGTCCTTGTGTGGTTTATGGTGGTGCTGATATTGGTCAGCAGATTCGAGACTTAGAACGTGGATGCCACTTGTTAGTAGCTACTCCAGGACGTCTCGTGGATATGATGGAAAGAGGAAAGATTGGATTAGACTTCTGCAA